CTATAGTAGTACAACTAGTAGGTAAGTACTTAGTTTCATTTCCAAAATTATTCCACAATAACTTTCCACGCAATATCAAATTGACAAATTAGGGTCAAATTATGAAAAGTGTAAAGCAATGTCATGTAGACAGCATATTACAAAACAATAATTTTCTATTTCAAATTGGGGATATGAGATTTCAAATACGAATTTACGAAAAATTTAACTTGATTTTTTGAGATCTAATTTAGAATCAAATAAAAGATCAAATTATTATATGCCATGCGCCACCAAAATTTGCAATCAAAGTGGTCTGTGGTCAATAAAATTTGCTAGGCTGAATAATGTAAAGACAGAATATGTAAAAACTATAGCTCTATACTATTCAATATAACCGACTTATGGTGCTATTCTGTAAAAAAAATACGTGCTATAGCGCTGTAACTCTTTAAGCTATCGACTATAAGTAAAAATCGAATTCTCTAAGGAAATATTTCTCTATACCTAAAATTCTATAAGCTTAAAGTCTCTATAAAGTTATGGCGAGAAATTTGCTGACCGTAAAGACTTATAGTCTCTATAACGATATATTGTCATAGTAACAATGTCACTCCTCAATAATTTATTATAAGTACTTCTCTCCATATTTCGCCAGTGATGCTAATTTTTGTTCTCTTATAATTATTGTTATCGTGTAAAGTTAATAATAGGTACATAGTTCAGTGATGGATCGTAATAATATTGCACTAATTGCATTATATTTATTATTAAATGAAGAAAAAAGAAGGTAATTTTGTGGACAATAATGAGCTTCTTACTACAAAATCTTTAATAAAAAGAGTGTCTATTTAGAAAAAAGTTATTTTGTAAAAGGTACAAACAAGCAGGTTTTATGAAAATCGGTAATAAATTTTTGTGTAATTTATTAATATGAGCTCAAAGTTGATGCATTTTCTAAATTCTCCTTCGGCTTTAGTTTCAAAATTGTTACTTCTTCAACTCGTTCTTCAAAAACGTTGCAAACAATCCTACTAATTTAATTACGTTTTTTTCTCTTTGATGTTTATGTTGTATTCTCATTTATTTCTTACTAAAAATTAGAGAATGTTTAGCAAATTTACATTACAAATTGTGTCTAAATTTTAGCGGTAGTCTTTTTCTGACTTTTCGTCTTCAAATTTCCAAAAACTGTTCGCGATACTCAATTTGTTCCCGTTTTTGTGTTTTCATTTCTAAATTTTTTTGCTGAATGCCATTTTTTATTAATTAAATAAAAAACTAGAACTGCCAACATCCAAAAATTACCATGAATAAATTTGTTAAGACTGTTTGACATTTCCACTTAATAAAAAACAGACTTTAGGGTAATTACAGCGCTATAACTCGAATGTTTACATAGACGCTTAGAGAATACCAATTTTGATACGATTCTATAAGGACTTTAAAAAATTTATATACAGAGCTCTATTAGCTATGGAATATACCAGCTTATAGACTATAGCAGATTTTTAGAGAATAGCCTAATTAATTTCAAAGTTACAGGACACTTTAATCACAGGTTCATGGTCTATTAATCTATTATAAAAGAAGAATCTACGTTCTGGATGATCTCTGTAGTGATAAAATAGCCAAAGAAATCCACTATTTAAAAGAGAAAATAAATTTGAACAGTGAAGACTTTATATTTGAGGCAGAGTGTAATACCATATTTTCCAACATTTTTAGATAAATTGTTAATAAAAAAGAAAATACACTAAATTGATTTATGTCATATTGACTTTTCCATCTTAAATGGAATCTTAAATCTACTTATTTTGGCCACTTAGCATGGTCAAATTATTTTAGAGTAGTTATACAGTGTAAATAATAGAATCTGCACAATTATTTTACCAAATCATTAAAAGCAAAAATACCAGCGGTTGGGTAATAGCAAGAAGAGTATTTTATGCGGCATATTTAAATATTTTTGCTTCTCCTTTAAATTTAAATGTTATTGATCGATTTCTAGGAGTGGTCGACATTAAGCACATTTATCCTACCATAGGATTCTGAACAAAATAGATTTATGAGACTTTGAAATTTGGTTAGTAACAATGACGAGTGAAAAAAAACAGCAGATGTAAAATGTGATTTGATATTTTCTCTATTTTATTCGGTGTTGTAAACATAATTAGAAAACTATAGACCACTTTCACCATGTTTAAAGTATGGTACAATTTGAATCCCATTGCAGCAAATTGCTTATTCTTATTGGATTTTCAGTTAATTTTCTGAAGCCCAAAACTGTGACATCCAACAATTTTAAACATGTCTTAGCTTTCTTTATCTTGAGATAGAATGTTCATTTTTAAAAGGCGTAAAACTTTTGCATAAAAAAGGAAATAATAGTACGTTTACACATGATATTGTAAAATATCCCACAACCGTGGTTATACAATGTTAAAATATTTATGAGCATCGTAAATAATAGCAGAATAACTACTTAAACAGGTGTACTGCAAAGCTTGCCTTATATTACGGTAAAATCTAGCCAAGCATTTTTAAAACGTTGCGCTGGACCTGCTCGGTAATCGCAATGAAACTCACGTGTACACCTGTCAGAAGAACTGGGTAACTCTTTAAAGGTTATGTAGCAAGACAAAACAATAATTGTTTACTTAATTCGAAACAAATAGCAAAAATAACAACAATAATAAACATACAACAATAAAAATAGCAAAACATAAAAGTACCACCAGTGACAAATCACAATAATAAAACGACAATTTTCCAAAGAAGCTCATGAAACTTGGACAAAGAAATTCCAAGAGTTATTTCTAAACAAGATTTAAGTACTCACCTAATTTTTTGCTGTTACTTTCCCTTTTCTTCAAGTTTTAAATAACACTGCAAATAAAAGAATACAGCAGTAATATTTATGGTAATTTTAGTAACTGTTTCGTAAACACTACGTTAAAGTTAAACCGATTTCACGTTTTTCATGACGAGTTGGAGTTCATTCAGAATTGTAACAAATTTTCTTTTAATAAAAATAGTTCGAAGTGACAGAAAAACAGACTAAACCACGCCATGTTGTTTTATTTGAAATAACTCAACCAATGCCCTCTACCAGCAACATGTCAAACTTTCAACCACGACGTAGTTCTTTCAACATACGAGAAATGTCAAATAATTAATAACGATCCTTTCTTATTGTTTTATAAAAAACAATTTTTAATCAATTATTTAGAAAAAAAATGCATTCTTTTATTAGCAACTTATATTCAGTAATGAGGTAAATAACAAACCAATTTTTTATTAATTATTTTGCTAATTATAATTCATAATCAATAATAATGTATGAATAAATTTCAAAGATATTAAACGCGCTCATTATATTTTTATTTGCATTTATTAATTTACCTTTCATCCACCAAATAACCATCAATTAATTTTAACTTTAATTGGATAATGAGCCGCATAACACATTCAAATAAAAATTAATGGATTCATAAACAGTTAAACACTTAAACGGTTTACGAGTACAAGAATCATGTTTAACAGTCTTAAAACTTAATTAATATGTATTTCATTATTTTCGATATTAGAAAAATTAAAAAAAAGTGTTTACATCACATGCAAAAGGAACGTTGATATTATCGTTATTGTATACCTAAATAAATTATGGCAAAAATAAGAAAAAGTATGCGTACCTACCTACCTACACTCACAAAGTCACACTATAAAATAAAATCTAAAGGTTGTTGATTTTGTTTTATACCAATGTAGAAAAAATCGATGCATTTAATAAATATTTATATCAATGTTAAACACAGTACTGTATTTTTTTAGTGAATAAATAATGTGTCCGCATCAAGATAAACATATATTTCAGTTGACCCTTTGATTTTTTTGACCCTGATGTAGCTCCAAGTTGTGCGAATGTTAAATGAAAAACCATAAAAACTTAGGTTGTTAAAGTTATTTAGATTTTATCCTAACATTTTTTCAAAGATATTATAAAATAAATAATACAAATTTTACAATTTCATATGAATAACGTGAATATACGCCATAACTTCTACATCCATCACGTTTAAAGTGTTTTATCTGAATCTGCATCCATTTTGTTTCAGTGAATTTTGAATAAAATAAGATTAATTACCAGTAGAAACTAAACTAAGAATTTTTATAGCAATTTTATTTCATTTATGTGGGTGATTCTCCATTGATATTTCCATAAAATAGTGAGCACGTGTAACCAGAACGTTTGTAGTTTTATGAACGAAAACTGATTGCGATCTTTAATGGCTTTAACAGTCAGATAAATTTGATTCATTTAAATGGCATGCTAAGCGAGAGAACGATAAGCGATTCATATATTTAATAAAAAAATTAAAAATGTTAAATGACTTAATTAATATCTAAACAAGAATCTAATTATGTACAAGTAAAATAAAATTAACGTATTAATTTTCTAGTAAAGATCACGAATAAAACAATCATTGAATATTTAATTAAAATAACATAAAAATAGTAGTAAAAAGGTGAATTATTAAAAAATAGTCAAAAAGTATTTTTTAAATGGTGCGATGTTAAATTTTTTCGTTCTTAAACAGAAATTAAGACCATTGATACTACCGACCTTATTATTGTGTCACTATTATCGTGTCATGCAATCGCTACGCATTTTTACCACACAATTTACAACCACTTTTTAATTTAGTGACAAAGTGTACAGCTCTTTCCAAAGCGTGAGAATAAGTTACACCATTATTTTACTGATAACAATTCATATGCATACACGTTCGTAAGAAACCACACAAGAAAGACTTGCATACAAAAATCGTTGCTCTAACTCTGACTATTAAAAGTATTCTTTATACCACTTTTTTAGCCTATAATTTATATTATATTTTGCGCCAACAACTGCATAAATAGTAAAATTATTGCTGACATAAAAAATAACTTTAGCAATAGCCGAGTTTATAACATAAAAAAATATAACATTTCCAGTGTATTCAAAAAAAAAAACAATCTGATGCCATACATTTTTTTATTACTTCTACAAATAAATTACAAGAAAAACTTTCTCCTGCTAGTTTCCATGGCATGTCTCCGTCCTTCAATAATCCACTCATACTGTCCATACTTGCTATCAAATGTGCCTTTCTGTAATGACCTCAACTTCAAAGTAAACCTAGGTCCCAATTCCATCAACCTCGCCTTTTTGCCATCTTTATCAAACTCATACCTAACACAAATAAATTGTATTTTGTAAAACAAGAAAATTAGTCACACAAACCTGTAATGTCTAAAAAATATATAGTCACGTTGATTATGAAACGTGACCGCTCTGCGCCCCACAAATTCTGGCTCGTAGTGAAACAGTGCTCCCAACATTCTTCCAACTGTCATCCCCAATCTTGTTGAAAAGTTATTCAAAATGACTTCAGGTCTATGGTCATTAATGTCTTTGTGATTTTTACGCAATTCTGTTGTAATTTTAACGTTGGAAAGTTTGAAATGCGCTGTAGGACCGTTGGGTAAATGAATAACAAGTAATCCATCAGGCTCATGGCGATTTTCATTAATGACGAGAATATCAGTATAATTTCGTTTTATAGCGCTCGTGACAATTTTTTTCACACCTGACCTGTTTCTGTACAAGGAGACTGAATTTGGAATGATTCTAGTCAACTCTCGGCCAAAAATTCGGGTTTTCTGCAACAGTTAAAATAGAATTTTGCGATAAAAACATACTGCAATACCCGCAATGGATTATCAGCATAAGTGATAAGCACTTTAGGTTCGTAGGACTGTTGGTAATACTCGCTGAATTCGTCGTTGTCAAAATCGTTTCTGACCAATTCATTTTCTTCAGTATTAACGTCCTCAACTGTAGTTTCATCTTTTACTCTTAAAGTTTCAAGTGTGTGCGGTACTTTTTTAGGTCCACCTTCCCTCTCTCGTTCTTTTTTCGCTAATTTCTTTGCCTAAACATCTCGAGTTTAGAAATACTTAAAAGAAAATATAACCTCTAACCTTCTTTTGTTCCTTTTTTGTTTTCTGATATTGTTGGCTTCTTACTAACTTATTTTTAATGTGTGAATATTTGTTTTCGTTGGGAAACAATACTGAACCACTTTTCGACGGTTTTAATTCACTTTTTGATTCTGGTTTTTCTTCTTCAACCTCCACGTGCTTGCCTTGTGCCGACATTTTTTCAAAACTATTTGACAGCTTTTGGGAGTTTTGTTTAATAATGTTGGCAGTACCAAGCAAAAGACCAAATGAGTATTTTTCTTAAAACCTGAACAAGCAATTTGAACACTTCGCAGGCCAATTCTACCGAAGCTGCATTTAGTGATTTTTGTACTATTTTTGACAGACTTGACATCCCAACTGCAACAACAAACAACAATAATAATTTATTAATTTTTATGTTTAAACATTCTTTTATCATGGAAATAATTAGGATTTAGAATTAGACAGCAAAGTTATTGCTACACCCTTTATTTATAAGATGAATTTAGAATTGTTGGGTAAGTTCACTATTTTTACACAATGCTTTATTTTCTAACCAAAATTCTAGAATCTTTTGGGCAGAACTACCCTGAAGAATTCGACGGCACTTTAGACTCACTCTCAATCGCTGTAACATGTGCTTTTAACAAACGCGGGACACTTCTTGCAGTGGGTTGTAACGACGGCAGAATCGTAATATGGGACTTCCTGACGCGAGGCATTGCAAAAGTAATATCAGCTCATGTTCACCCTGTTTGCAGTATCAGTTGGTCGCGAACTGGCTACAAAATTGCGTCTGCATCAACAGATAACACTGTCTGTATTTGGGACATCCTTTCAGGAGAATGCGAACAGAAATACCGCTTTCCATGCCCAGTTTTAAAGGTTCAGTTTGAACCCAGAAGCATGGAAAGGCTTCTTGTGTGTCCTATGAGACATGCGGCGGTTTTAGTTGACACAAATGGAGGACATAAAGTTTTACCAATTGATGAGGATGTAAGAAAAAAAATTGTTTTTGTCTCAATACAGGACTTAATTTTAGGGTGACTTGAATATTTCTGCTTCGTTTGATAGAAGAGGTGATTATGTGTACACTGGTAACGCGAAAGGGAAAGTCTTAGTTTTGGATTCAAGAACGTTGGAAGTTAAAGCTAGTTTTAGGATTATTTTGGGAACGTCAAGTGCAACCGCGGTGAAAAGTATTGAATTTTCAAGGAGGGGAGAGTAAGTATTTTTTTCAAATTGCTTCCATTTAAAATTAATTAAATTTTTGTAGCTGGTTTTTGATAAATACAGCAGATAGAGTAATCCGTGTTTATGACAGTAAGGAAGTTCTGGCATGTGGGAAGGACGGGGAACCAGAACCTATCCAAAAATTGCAAGATTTGGTCAACAAGTTTGTTAAAATAGACAGACTGTCGGTAGAAATTTGAAGTAATTGTTTTTAGGACAATGTGGAAGAAATGTTGTTTTTCCGGAGATGGTGAATACATTTGTGCAGGATCAGCAAGACAACACGCGTTGTACATTTGGGAAAAATCAATCGGCAATCTGGTGAAAATTCTTCATGGAACAAAAGGAGAGTTGCTTTTAGATGTTGCGTGGCATCCAGTCCGGCCCATTATCGCTAGCATTTCTTCCGGTATTTTTTATGAATCTAATAGTGTTTTTAAAAAACATTTTGTTAGGTGTTGTAAGTGTTTGGGCACAAAATCAAGTAGAAAACTGGTCAGCATTCGCCCCAGACTTCAAAGAATTGGACGAAAACGTTGAATATGATGAAAGAGAAAGTGAATTTGATATAACAGATGAAGATAAATCAGTTGCCAGTGGTGGAGACGATAAGGAAGATACTGATATGGAAGTTGATGTATGTTCTGTTGAACCCGTCCCAGCTTTTTGTAGTTCTGATGAAGAAAATGAAAATACAGGTTGTCTTCAGTTTTTACCAATTGCCCCAGAAGTATGTTTTTCGAAAGGAGTTGGAGCAGTTATTATTGATTGATTTTAGATAGAGGATCCTGAAGATGCGTGGACGCCTGCTGATACTAATTTACCTCCAGCAGGACAAGGAAGCGGACCTCCACCTGCTAAAAAGAAAAAATACAAGTCTTATGATGTTGCTCTTGAAAACACAAGTGATGCAGGTAATTGTTCTGACTTTAAAAATACATTTAATTGTAATAATTTGGCATACAAATTGCAAGATTTATGGTGCTTTCATTAGTTGGCAGTAACGACTAATTTGTATAATAATAGCGCATAATCATAAAGTAATGTATTGTGATTTTTGACCTTGCAGAAATTCATCCATTACTCAGCAGCAAGACTAAAGATAAACAAGTGATGGGTGGGAAGAAGGCGGCAGGACGGCCTAGAAAATAATTTTTTAAATCTATCATTTATTACGTTTTATTTAGAATCAATTGTCTTTATTGTGCTGTCGTAAAATAAAAAGTATACTTTCAACAAAGTTTTTAATTGATTCTCTATATTACATGGCCTAATTTTTAAAATGTAAAAAAAAATAACAAAACTTATTTTTATAACAGGTTTCTCAAACACAATTAGGAACAACATGTTTGACGTATGCATATACACATAAATAAAATCACGTATGTGTCTTATGCACAACCTATTATGAAATTAAGGATCAAATGCATTAACAATTTAAGTTGTTATCTAAGTCTACATACAATCAAGTCTTGGAACAACTTCAATTTCTGGAAATATAAAAACAATTATGTATAGTATATACAAAACTGACTTCATTTTATTAATAAACGGTACAAATTAAAAAAAAATACTAAAATCCGCTTTCCTAGTGACAAGTTCAACGATAATTAATTTGAAATATTCTTTTCATTCAGAATTAGGAAGTTATCCAATTAGAATTCCAACACCAAGTCTAAACTGATTTTTGTTGTGATTCAAAAGCCCACTTAGAGCCAGTGTAAAAGGCAAAGGACTTAGTTTTTTTTCTAAAACGGCCCCCACGGACCAGTTTGAGTCTACATGCCCCTTAAATACCACTTCACTCTTTGGCAAATCAACTTGGTATCCTATGGACGCTACAGATTCCTGCATCCGCGGATTCGCTTCCAGTTCTACACCTATTTGCAACTGACTGCTGGCCTTTTGGTAATAACATAAATGGACGCCTGAGACACCCAAAGTTCCAGATATTTGCGTATTCTCTGTGGTATATCTAGAAACAAATAATGTTAAAATCGGATGATATTGCATCAAATAATTTGTACTTTGCTGCGGCACTTAAGAGAGCTATTTCTCCTCCCGGTATGGCTGGCCCCTTTTGATACGCAAGCTCAGAACCTAGGGCTAGTCTTGGTGTTACAGCTTGAAGGTAATGGAGAACCACAACTCCAGATCCTGAAATAATGTCTGGATTCGCCACTGTAACGCTGGCAGTATAGTCAGATCCCTTGTAGTTCATAGTCAATTGTCCAACAGTGAATTTTGAATTCTGAACCTACAATTTACAAATGAGACAAAAGTTGGCGTTTGTTTTGGAAAAGTACTTGGGCTCCAAATTTTGCTTGAATTTTGGAACATAATTGGTGAATAATTGTAGCATTAAGATTCCCTGACGGGTCTATGTCACCTAGTAGGATAGGATAGGCTTCACTGGGTGAAATTTGTTTAGTTCCTACATAAGTCGCCCCAAACCTATACCCACTAGGAGTAATGGAACTCATATTAATCGTATGTGAAATTTGAAAATGATTGCTAAGACCCCTCGTAAGCATCACTCTCGCTCCTTCGAAATTTGTCGGGAATATATCTAAAAGCGAGCGACTTAACTTGAAGGTTATGTCGAAAGTTACAACTCACTTTTGCATTTTGTATGAATATCTTCGAGAGGACCGGGGTTTTCAACTTCTTGGGGGGATCCTGAGGTGGATGTTTCCGTTTTGGTGTACGGCGTGGCCGATGGTGGTGGCGGCGGAGGGGCTGGTGATGAATAAGCGTGCACGTTACCCATTTTCTTCTAACATAAATTTCTTAAAAACCAATAGATTTTGGGTGGTTTGGCTATTTCAGTTTAATAATGCACATGTGACACCAAACGAATACGGGCCAAAAAGGGTCACTAAACGTGATAACGAAGAACCCCACACATTTTCTTCTCGGAAAAAATTACGATGACAGATAATGACAGGTGCCTATTTGATCGACAAAGCGTAGTACCGCATCCCTACCCAGATGGCAGCACCCGCAAAGAGCAAATTTCATGAAAATTAATTACCAATAATTAAAAATATACGCCCACGTATTTATGTTCATTATTTTAATCGTCGCTGTTATCGTGTTAATTCAAAATATAGTATAAATATGTAAAACATATAGAAGGTTATGCAACCAGTTATATACAAACCAACTACGATAATGACCACATTACAACACAAGTGCCTAACAACTTACGTTATTAAATACCAAATATACAAATACAAAATATTTGCATTTTGCTTCATGGTCTAATCTCTTATTTCCTTAGTTGCGTAAATTATTAATATTATAATCACACAAGGAAGTTTTAAAGTTTGGTGAGAATAAAAAACGTCCATTTAATACATAGTTTATACATAAAACAATGCGTACGATACAAATGATTTATACATTTTATAAATAACTACAATACAACATATAGTGTAATAATTAGCGATGCATTTTCTTACCTAGTGACTAGAATACTGATAGATTTAAGTCTTTTTAAGTTGTATAATATCCTATTTGCAGCGAGAGGCAAAGCATATGTAGCGAGTTCAGATTCTACATTGCAATTAATAAAGTAATCACATCTGTTACATATAATAAATATTTACCCATTTATAATAATCACATTACATTTACAATGAAAAATTGCATGGCATATTTTGCAACAAATGTGATTTTAGTGCAAGAGTTCCTGACAAGACAAATACTTAGAATTTAGATTAAATACTGTTAATACATTGGTCAAATATATTAAGTACATCATTACAAACATTATGTAAAAACACTGAGGTATAAAACATTATAAATAGGTACAAATTTTTCAAAAATGTTAAAGTGTGTGTAATATTTTTTTAGTTTTCGTGAGTTTATTATGAAAAATACATCAAAACTTTGCTCAAAGAATAAAAGGCTAAAGCAGAAGTACTTAATATAAAAATGGCAATTAGGTACTCATTAATATCAGTAATTTTATTAATACCGGAATCCGTGTAGGTACTCTAAAAATTGTGCATGTTTCCAACTAAAATTAATCGATAAAAAGCTAAAAAATCACATTAAATACTTTATATTAGGAAAATAATCACTTATTCAAGTATATCCGTTTAAAAAAAAGAAATCTATATCCTGTACAAAAACAAAAATAAAACTCAAGACATCAATTATATACAGAGTAGTTGCAAAACAATTAATAAAACAATATTTGTACATCATAAATAAAAACTTTCAGTTAGATCGCAGTGCTGTCTGCTTTTAGCGTCTTGCACCTTTCCTTCTCCTGGTTGTTCTCGGGAGGTTCGCATTCAAAACTGGCAAGAGCTAGTGCATTCTCATTTAAAATTGGTCCATGTTGTAAAACTGAAATAACTTTGGGGTCCTTCTCGAACGGACACGTCACCTGCTTCCAGGCCATGAATTCGGTGACCTGTTTCGCCAACTGCCAAAACTTTTCAAAATTTATATGACCATTTGGAAGTCTGTAAGTATAAATGTGAGAAGTTTGTAACTCACGCAAAGAAAAACTCACTTATTGGAACAACCTTGGTTAAGAAAATAAAGATCTTTAACCAACAAGCTAAAGAATGGAATCACGATTCTTTGACGCTGGTCTTTAGCGCCATGACTGCGCCACATGGCGGCTTTTAATGTGCTTCTGTAGCTACTAAAATTACTACTGGGGTCCATTTGGTGTTCAAGTATGGCAAATTTACCAGAATGGATTTTGTTCCACTGAAAAAATGCGTTACTCAGAGAATTGTACGTAAACAAACATGACTTACAGTTTTCTTCAGCCTTGAAATCGGTGACATATTTAGGCCAGCAATGATGGCCATCAGACTGTTGAAATTGCCAATATTGAAGCATTCGCGGCCTGTCTCAATCCAGTATTCCACAACTCGTACTCTTTGTTTTTTCTTCTGGTACTGGAAGCGCAAAAAATGTTATGTCACTCTCGGTAATTTGTTTAATACTCACTTTACAAACTTGTGTCGCTACAAAATAACTCAGTCTATTAAACCATTGCACGTACTGTTCCAGATTGTGCGTCTTTTTCATATCTTTGAATGAAGTTTCTAAATGTGGATTTTCCTTCGCGAATGCTTGCACAAACTCCTCCGGACCTATGAATGAGAGTCTTTCGAGTTCGACATGAGTGAGTTGCTGTGCAAGAATAGCTGGCACTGGACATACTTCCGAAATATCTGTACAGTTTTCATCTTGCGGTTGCGCCGACAAATCTAAAGTTTTTTCGTACTGTTCTAACGCGGTTAATCTCTGAAGAAGATTGTGTAGGAGGGACGAAACAATTCCTCGAATACTTGGATTTATAGCGCAACACTGTTGTGTTATTGTCCGGACATGTTGCATGACCCTCTCATCCCTTAAACCCATATGACAGTCGAACCAAAGCCAATTTGTGTAAACTCACCTAAAGTCGTAAGGGAATGTCTCGGTCCATTCTGCAAGCAATTGTACTAAATGTTCGGCAAATCTCGCCTGGCCGGGATGAGAACCGCCGCCATTGGCACTTCCCAATCCCTGTTGCGTCTCACATAAACTCCGTACTCTGGCAAGCAAATCGTGAGGCTTAATGAATAGGCGTGAAGACAATAGAAATGCAAATAAGTATGCCCTATCTGGGTAATAGGTGTCAGTCGGAACCATGTGTTGTATTAAAGCTTCAAGGGAACCAGACAGCAAGTTTCCATCGCGGTAGACCAAGGCCTGAGAAAATGTTGTTTTTGTTAAAAACATCACAGACTGCGTGATAACAACTTAGATAATCAATTTTATTAAATCATATCTTACATTATCGGGCTGCAAGGCGGTATCTGTGGCATTTTCCTGTACTGCCTCGCTGTTGTAGACAGTCGAGAAACTTTTAGTTTGAGGAGTTTGTGGCAAGCTCTGAAGAGAAGGTTAATTGTTAGCTAAATTAATCAAAAGCACAGCAGAGCAACGAGAAAAGTAAGAGGGGTAAATGTAATGAAAAACATGCAGAGAAAAACAACAAAACACTCGGTTATAAAATRCGAACGAAACAATACTTTCCCACATGTTGTTTTATTAATCTTTTCTTCAATGTGACAGAGAATTGATTTGGTGTTTGTCTCAACACTTGCTTCAATTTCATATAAATACAATGGAATAGCATTGACAGATACATATGAATATAAAAAATACATATGAACAAGATACATATTAAACAAAGATAACAAAATAAAACTGAATGCGCTTACAACCAAAATATCGTGATCTAGGTCTCGTTACAAACAATTAATGATGTAAAAAATAAATGGATACGTGTTTATATTTTTAGGGTATGATAAGTTATGCCAATAGTGAAAAAAAATGTAACAAAAGTTTCTTAGTTACCGAAATATACCGTGTTAAAAACACTATTAGACTTTAAAATTTTAGATAATTTGCGCTGATGACACCAATGTCGACCTTACATTTGTTCACGCAATTCCAGTCAATAGCTAAGTGAATCGATTTTCTTTATTTTGGTAGGGTTTGTTAGAATTTATTATTGAATTAAAAAAATAACAACATTTTATATGTAACTTATTTTTCATTTTTTTTTACTTATTATTGATCATAAGACTCGCCCTGTATGTTCACTAACACATTTTTTACAGTTTTACGGGTGTGTATAGCTTTGTTAAAACATTTATTTGATTTAAGGTTAAAGGTAATTTATGTTTTTGTAAAAAACTTAATATTGTAAAATTAATTTTTCATTCATGTAAACAAATTAAATGCAGCAGTTGCGGCTGAAAATACCCATGTATGTATGCACATAAAATAATAAGTGGAAAATAAAATAAGCTGTTTTCAAAATATGTGTTATTTTATTATCGGTTTAAATTCTTATTCACATGCGGTTTTAATGTAAAAAAAATTAAATTAAAACAGACCAAAAATGTCAATTTATTTCAAAAATAAAAAGGATATGTGTGAAGCACATCAAACGACTGCATACGTAATTTAACAAATTAACAAAAAGTCAGTTTACATTACCCTGATTCATTGGACCAACGTTATTTAAAATGTCTATATACAAATAAATTTTGATTACTTCACGTGTAGCGTATACTAACGGATAGACAGTTTTATTTCACATGGGTATAAAAATAAATTGATTATTATTGCAATAAGCGTTCTATTGGACTTTTGGATTTAGTTAAAAAACAATTTACTAAAACCGCAACCAATACATTCTTTATTGCACATAATTGCATCCATAATTCAGAAGACAAACGAAATGAGAGTTCATTAATCAAGTAAAGTGAATCAAGAGAAGATCATTAAAACTGACCTACATTTTTAGTTGAAAAATTAAGCTGTCTGGAATAAATGAAGCTTAGTAATGGAATTAATCAAAGAGCCGTTGAAGTAAACTCCCGGTTAAATTCAATAAACAACAAAAATAACCACAACTTACCCTTCTATTCGAACAGTCTTTTGGTGTGAGGTCGGAAGCGACAGTTCCAAATATTGTAGGCTAAAAATAAAACATGTGTTTTATTATAACAAGAATTGTAGGCGGTTTGGCAGGCAAATAACCCGCAACTTGTCACAAAAATGATTCGAATTCAAAACAAACATATCTGGACGAAAAATTCAAGCTAGATTTCACAACGCAACGGTGTTTGTTTATCAAATAAAACTTTATTATGTAAACTATGAATTTTTAACTGCAATCGCGACCTTGCTGGGCTTAAAATGCAATCAATTTAATAGCATCGCGAAGCGCAAACACCGCTTGAAAAAATCCATACTTACGGTAAAATCTTTGCGATAACCGTTACTTCCATTGAACGTGCACTTCCTGAATTGGTCGCTCACAAAATCGGTTTCGTCCAGCGAACTGAGCGAGTCTGCTGAGCTGGGTGTAAAGTCCGCCTTGTTGGTAGACGTGGAGTTGCTCAGGTGTCCTGAGTCCTTGCTCAGACAGGTTTTAGGTTTGTAGGTTGGCCCGTCCGACTCGCAGCTCGACGCGCTTGAACTTGACTCGAATTTGCCCTCACTGCCAGTCTCATACCCGTTGTTATCCGAATATTTACCATTTCGGGTGTATTTGCCGTTRAGGAGTTCTGCTGTTGGTATTATTTTAATCGGTTCGTAGACCTCTGTGATTGCACTGGTGTAAAAATTCTGTTCTTTCGTTTCTCGACTCCTCTCGTCGACGACCTTTCCGTCTCTCGACACTGTGACTTCCTCTTTGGTCACCGTCGTCGATTTGACGCTCAATGAGGTGTCTAATTTGACGGGAGCTTTCAGGATTCCCGTTTTGATCAATAGGGTGTTTAGGAGATCACAAGGCGGCACCTGGCCGGTGATTAACGCTTGCTTTATTGCTAGGCCGTCTCTGCCTTCGAGAGTTACAGGCATGCCGTTAATGAACAACACTTCTTCCTCTTTGATGGAAGACTTTTTCTCGCAATCGACCACTTTGGCACCCTTGCCGAGGATCGATTCGACTGTTTCCTGGATTTCCGGGTCGTCCATGTTGCGGCTAATTGAACAAATTGGGGATTGACGGTGACGAAGAACTATGACGGCTATTTCAAGAAGCAAGTCGCGACAGTAAAACACCCAAAACAATTGGATTTTGTTTAGTGAAAACACCAACGAACTTCATTAAGCCATTTAGAGTACGTTGACATTTTCCCTGGTTATAGTTTCAGATAATTTAACTTACTCCAAATCAAACACCAACGTGGATACCCTTTATTCGTTTCACATGAATAAATACCACAAATAATAAATATTTAAACTAGGTATTATCTAAATCAATATACATATATGTACACTACTTATGTACCTGAACACGTTATTATTATCACATTGTTTCTTTCTTTATGATTATTTTTTACATAACTTTAAACTTTCTAATTTGAAACAATTTTTTACTCTAAATAGTAAGAGACAGTTTCATAATAGAATTAAGGGGACTTTAAAATTAATGTTGGTTTAGAATCTGAAATATTACTTAAGAATCAGCACATTCTAAACCAACATTAATTTTAAAGTCCCTTTAATTCGATTATGAAACTGGCCCTAAGTATTACTTTTCGAACAATGTGGAACTTTTTAACTCATCAACTATGCCGTCAACGATTGCAATTTGTTGAAAGGTTTTATTGTTCATTTGTAGTAACTGAACACGCGGTAAAGGTCAAGTTCAAGAATTCCGCAGTATAAAATATTCGTGGGCAATATGTGAAAATTCCGAATTCACTATCTCCCAACAATTCATTAGCACACGTCATAAAATATTTTATCTACTAATATAATTTTAATACTTTCGCTGACATTCAAAACGCATAAACAAGTAGCTCTAATTTATTGATATCTATTAATCTCATATCAAGATACATTTTACGATGCATATCACAATAAAATAAAATTTTATCGATTATACATTTAGTATATGAATGTAAATAATCTTGTGGACTTTTCACTTCCGCATTTTCCTTTCGTTTGTGACTGTACGAATAATAAAACCAGGGCGAACATTCCGACATAATGTTTATTTATGTTTGGTGTGAAATGAATAATACCCAAAAAATTTCTCGAAATAGTAATATCATAATATTAATTCTAGAGTTCACGACTGTTGGAGAATACGTATACCACTATCAAATTCTCAACAAAAGCTATCGAAAAGTCCATAAAGCGCTTTCCAGATTCTGATATTGCGGTGCATCGGAACTAAACAAGTTGTTTTTGTTTTATTTGTTGCAGTACGTTTCTGGCTTGGAGGAGTGTAGCGTATTGTACAGCAAGCAACCTCTGAACTAATTTTCAGTGCGGTGTAAATACAAATCATCTCACGCTATTACTGTAATTATTTTCCATATCTTCACATACTGACTTCTAACAAACTCAACACAGGTAAAATTCAAATTAATTTTTCATAAAAATTGAATTTGTTTTATGTTCCTAACTTACTATAGTAGACTTTGGTCATCCTGTAATCGATAGAGCTGCAGCAGGACAGTCCGGCTTGACATTGCGGAAAACAAAGATTTAATCTGGAAAACTGATTACGATAGAAACAATTTAAAGATAATCTAGTTTCTCCGAGTACACGACTTATAAGAAAAAAATGTCAAACGATAACAGTTCATTTATCCAAAAACTTTAAAATTGGTGCAAACAAAAATGATTAAAATTAGTTAAACCCGAATAGTCCGAAGCGGTGATAATACTAGTATGTAATTATGTTTAATTAATAAATAAGCACGTTTTACTGAATTGGGGTTACATTTAGATTAGACAAAGCATAAACCGTGAGTTACGTGAGGTTTAATGTCTAAAGCACGTAAACTATAACAATAAAAATATAATTTCTGACGCATTTTTAATATGTAAGGTTCGTGAATAAACTCTATACACTAAAAATGCTGTTCCTTTTTCATAAAAATACGTATAAGGGAGTTTAAACATAACGGATAATTAATTATTTGAAATAACAAAATCTTATGTTTTCTATACTCTAAGTGGTCATTAAATTTATACAGTAACCAAGATTACGGAAATTACTATAAGATCTAATGAGTAATGATTAACAACTGAAGATAGTTCTATCTTAAAGATAGTCGAGTTTTCTATTCGTATTTTGCTTACTGATGAGATTGAGAATATTTTATATCTAAATATTGCTATGGATAAACCAGTAATATTTGTAATGAGGTAGTGGAGCTTTTCCTAGCAGTATTACTTAAGTTTTGATGCCTTCCCAAAATCCTATAAAAATATTTGCCACATTGTGTTACCTTATCCAAAAAAAGGAAATAGAAATCTTCATATAAAAATACCGAAAAAATAAGAAACTCTCACTTTGCACAATTCCTGCCTTTATTTGTTACTCTTATTGTAACTGACAAAAAAAAACGAAACGAATTTTTATTGTGTTGAAAATCATCTGGTGTATCCAGTAGCTGAAATTGCAAATTTTATTGTCAATATTCATTATTTCATTTTGTTGAATCATCATTACTTTTTATCTCACGCTGAGAGGAGTTTCTCCTTGAATAAAACGCCATCCTTCATTTTATGACCATTTATTGAATTTTTATCAATGTCCCACAGAGTTCTTTCCTTCTACATATACACACAATAATATCCTCATCCTCATACAATGCACATCCTCGACATGCAACCGTCTTCTTCCTCAAAATTACTTGCAATTCACACACTTTGTGTTACATCCTCGCCGCATGTTTTACATATTTTGCAAGGTAATTATCGTTGTTATTCAGAACGTGCTGAACTTACATCAAGTGCACAAACAACGGTTTGTATGATGACAACTAAAATATCATGTTCATTATTTAGTTTAATTACCTGAACGGAGCGTGTTCTGTCTTGATTCTTAATTACCAACAAGACCAAAAACTAGCTTAAATTTAATTAACATGACTTTCAAAAATTTCACATTTCGTAATATGTTTTATTTTTCGCTTTGTTATATCAACTCTATAAAGTTAAAACTGGTGTCTATAAATGTCATATGAACGCAGACATCCAGGAATAGAGGATATGGTTTTGAAATTACGAGTGAACTATTTCTAACCGCGACCTCTTTGAGTAATTCAAGTCGATCGATTGTGGACGAATTTTCAAAACATGTCGGATTGCTTTTCCTGGAACCTCCGGAGTGCAGCAGCCACAAAATGTGTGCCGATAAATGCACTTCCTCGACGTAGGTCGGCCGGCACTGCCAGGAAATTGAAGTTCCGGATATGGATATGTCATTTAATAACTAGGTTATTATCACCAAATGTGTATCTTTTTATGTGATTTTGAACTCGTCGGCCTTAACACGTCCCTTGCTGATTGATTTTTCTCTTCCGTTTACACTCGGGTTTACACTATTGGTTGCATACGTGACCACTTCGTTGTGTAAATCCCATTTGATTGTAAACAAAATTCCAAAATTGGATTGATTAAATTGTGTAATTAATTTAATAGAATTAATCCACTAGTGACCAGGCCCAGAGGCTATTCGATGTTGAAGACGGTGAAGTTGGCTGAAATCCAGTCAAAAATGCCAGAAATGTCAAGTCAGAATGTGGTATTTAGTGAAATATGGGAGGATATAAGTTGGAAGAAAGAAATTACTTCAAATTCTGGAAGATTACTTTCCTGATTTTATTTTATCCTATGAACTTTACGTTTTGTAAAGTACCTTATTTTTGCTATGAATTATTATTTATTAGCCACAACGATACCAAACATAAATCAAATGTCGAATACATAATTAATAATTATACATAATGTACCTACGTAAAAAATGTTTTTTGTGGTGTGATTCCTTGGGTCAATTGAAAAAAGAAGTTTCTATGGATCTATGTCCGGAAATGCTTACCTCACAATAAAGCACAATCTCTTATGAAACATAATCTGAAAGGATTTATTTTCGTAATGCATTTGACCTTGTTCAAATAATAATGAATTTCCCCTGAGCTTTGGTATAGTTTGAGTAGTATACCT